ATCTGCAGGCAAAAGAATTGTATTCATTAATCCCAAAGGGCAACTCGCCTTAGCCACTAAAGTGCATTCCAGCAGAAAGCTCAGATCTTTCCTGCATAGGCTTATTTCTGCCGTACTGTTAATTATACCATACAAAGTGCCCAATCTAATTCTCTCCCTCTCTCCCTCCCCTGGCAGCTCAGGTTCCAGACGGTGATGAGCAATTTGTGCCTGACTTTCATTCAGAAAACTGTAAGTAGCACGGGGGTGATCACACATCTCAGGGGAGAAGGGCAGGATACGCTTCAACCAAATCCATAAATGCAACACGGGCACTGGGGCTAAAGTACTCATTTTGTTTCTGTGTTGGTATGGAACAGATTGTTGTGCTGGTGACAAAAGCCCCATGTTAACTGCCCCCACCTGCACAGTGCAAACGGATCTTTGGGTGGTGGCAGCTGCACAGTCCCTTATGCAGAGTGGTTTCAACACAAATGTGTGCTCTGAGAGCTGGTCAAAGCACGTCCCGTTACGAAGGAGCTGAATGTTGCCCAGGTCCGGGTGTACGTACAGGAGCCTTCCACACAGCGACCAGGCAGCTCTTCCTGCTTTCCTCCCAGTGGCCCCGCAGCACAGCCGGCTGCGCTCTCTGAGTCATGTATCTTGTTTCTTCCTCTTTTCCACCCAGAGCTGAGGAGAGGGCCGGTCCCATGTTCCAGTCTGAATGAATGAATGAGCGGTTGTAATGCAATAGCCTGTTGCAGCTAAGAGGGGCCGGAAAGAAAGGGCTGCTCCTAGCACAGCCAGCTTCTTGGCACTTCAATGGAGAGCAGTGTAGCGAGCAGAGCAGTTCGGTTTGTCCGTCCCTCCCCCCCCCCCCAGACTCAGCTGAGACATCGGCACTTTTAGATGGGTTCTATCTATCTGCTCACGCCATCCACGGGAAAGAGCTGCTGCAGACGGAAGGGGAATGGATGCCTCGGGCATAGAAAGACCCTTTTCTCTTTTGAGCCCTGCCTGGGCCTGGGGTGTTGGCACCGATGCAGGGGGGTCGTGTCTGGGACACAGAACCCAGCCCAAGGCAGGACCACTGGGTCAGCACTCGCCTGCCAGCAGCTTGGTCAGGGCCAAGAGCTGTTAGTGCAGGATGGAAAAAAATGGCAGCCCCAGGAGCGGCTCTGGGAGCCACTTGTCCCTCAGGAGCAGCCACAGACAGTCTGAGGCTCCAGTATCTTACGGATTCATTTATTTATATTGCTCCTGTCAAGCTGCCTGGATCCCTTTGGGTGCTGGTGAAGCATAAGGATGGGCTACTCTGGCACAGGCTGGAACCAAAGGTGGGCAAAAGAAGTCAGGTTTTCCCCCTCTTGCTGAGAAAATTAATTCCAGGGAGGGGTGTTTGCAATAGAAAGTGGCCTTAATCTGCTGTGCTGAGAGACAGCAGGAGCCATTGCTGCAGCCCTCCCGAGAGCTGCCTGCCTGCAGCAGCGCTTTGAAGGGACAATGCGTCCTTTATGTGAGGGAGAACTGGCTGGAGGCTGGCGGGTGCACACACAGTTCAGGTCAGTCCTGAAACAAACTCAGCGAGAAGATGAGGTATCAACAGATGAGGATGTTTCTTTCCATCCTGAAAACTGTCCCCAGGGCTCTGAACGTCCCGGGCTTTGTAAGCGGCATCGTGTTAGCTTGAAGAGGTGTGGGGGAGCTCGTGAAGAGGGACTGTAGCTCCTGAAGAGTTTACAGGTTTGATGTGGAGGGAGATTTTTCCCTTGTTTGAAAAACCAGCCTAAACCTATGTACCTTTCTGGGGTCACTTTTCTTTCCTTCCTGAGCGTCAGTGACCTCCTAACAGCATCAACAGAGCCCAGAGGCAAAGGTAGAAGATGCTTTACTGTGTCCTTCCACCAGGATAAGCTGTTCCGAGGAACGACAGGGCAGTTTTGCTCCCTGCTGGATTTAATCAAGCATAAAAAGTAACAATACTCACATCCTACTTCCTGGTGCTGTAAACTGCGACCCGCATTTGTTATTCATGGAATTCTAACCAGCCCAGAATTACCCCTTCTTGTTTGCATTAGGCCACGACCATGAACCACTGTGCTGAAAATGCAAAGAAACCCTTTTCCTTTGTGCCTGGGTTGTCACTGATGTTTTGGCTGAGCTGAGCAGAGCAGTTCAGGGGTTCCCCCAGCCCCACATTCAGCACAGAAGAGATTCAACACATGAAATCCCACATTTGGAAGTTACCCAGGTAGCTGCAAAGTGCCCGTGCGGCAGCCTCCTGCCTGGGAAGCACCAGTATTAACCTGGTATGATTAATGACATTAGATACTGAGAGGGCTGGAAGCTGCTCTTCCAACTTTGAGGGATATCAGAGCGAAATGCCCACTTCAAATCCTTTCCAAAGCTCTTAGGTTATCACAGAGCATGTTACCTCTGCCTTAGACTTGCTCTTGGGAGGTTGGTGTTATCATACAAATCCTACTAACCTGAGGGCAGAGCGTGGTGGTGTTCCCCTGAGCCAGCTGAGCGAGGACAAGGTGGAATCTCGACTGACTTCTTCCTGCCTGACAAATACAACCAGAAGCGTATTTCTCTCTCCATAACCATGAAAAGTGTCAGCCTGATCCTTCATTTCTCTCCCTCAGTAGCTTTTCACAGTCCTCCTGCGAAGATCAAAGAGGAGCCGCAGAGTCCCTGCTCGGACCCCGCGCTGTCCTGCACCCACAAGCAGCCGTTCCAGTACCACAGTGGCAAGCAGTGCCTTTACAGCAGGTACCACGGCTCACACAGGGGGGAGGCAGGCACTGCTCTGAATCGAGCACTGCTGCATCATCTAATAATGAGGTGTTGTGACAACAATCTGCTCTGTCTGCTGGCGAAGGCAGTGCACATGTGCTGCGATACAAACGAGCCAGGGGGTCAGCTCATGGCAGCCTGCTCATGCTTCCATGCACTGCGCTGGATAGTGCAGACCTGTGCAGGGTATATCTGGGTTCACCTCTTTTTTCTCTTCCCTGGTGCTGTTCCTCAGCTCTCCTGGTGCTGAGAGCATCTATCACGTGCCTTTCCCTCCCCACTGACTTCCAAACGCTGTCCTGCAAGGAGCTCCCTGGCAGCCTTGCCCACGGTCCCAGCTGCTTCCCTGAGTTATGATACGGGTTCTTCAGTACAGACACATCCAGGGGTCTGGTTGAAGGGTTATTGCTGTTGTGCAGGGGGCAACCAGTGATCAGAAAGGAAGGAGTTTATGCTGGCAGTTTTGTGGCCTGGGTGGCAGCAGAGGGACAGTGTGTCTGCCTGTGCTGCTGCCACGGGTCCTTCTCAGTGAACTGTAATGCTCCAATATCTGTTTGACTGATCCCAGTGCCTATGATCAACCCAGACAAGTTGGAATCAAGTCTCCCAACCCAGGAACCCCAATACAGTCACCGTTTCAACAGTTCCCAAGACAGGACAGAAGCTTCCTCACCCCTGCAGGGCCACCACATCCCACATCCAGCTGTGGATACCCCAACGAAAACAGGTGAGTTACTGCCAGGAGGAGGCAGCCACTGGGAGGAAGGGTTGTCCCCCTTGGCGATTCGGGGAGGAGGGGCTGCAGCATCCAGGTTAGAGTGCTCAGTTTCCAGCCATCACGGG